TTCCTTCACCCATGCCAACCCCCCACTCCTTTCCCCCTGCATACTGTAGTTGACAAACCCTCACTCTCCCCGCCCCCTGGCACTCACTGAGCTCACTACACCAACAAATGCATTTATGCCAGCTTAAATTTACTGCAGTTGGTTACTGCAGAGTAAGCGGGAATAGGTTTGTACCTACACATGCAGGTGACCCGGGGCTATATGTAGTCCTAGGTCAAAGCAGCCTGCCATGTGCCCCTGTGGCCACCAGGGGGAGCTCTAGCCTCCAGCCACATGGCTGCCAGGTGTTGGCAGCCCTGCTAAGGCCAGAGGCAGCTGCCAGAACTTGGCTCACCCTCTGCACTGTGATCTCTGAGAAGACACTTCTGGTGTCAGAGGAGCAGCATGGTAGAGGCACACCCTGCATGTGCCAGCTCTCTTCCACTTACCCACTTCTGCCCTGGCTCATACAGCCATACACTAGGCAGCTGGACCCCCACCAGGTGCACTTTAACAGGTGCCTTGCCAGTATCCATGCCCTGGTCGAGCACGCCTTCGGCTAGCTGAAAGGGCACCGGTGCTCCCTCCCAGCCCATCTTGAGGTTGTCTAAGAGGAACCTCCCCCAGGTCATTGTTGCAGCATGCATCCTGCACAACACGTGCAAGACCCAGGGGCAGGTGTTCCAGGGGGCCCGGGAAAATGAAACTAGGCAGAGGTGGCTGGCACCAGGAACAGGCCTGGCAGCGTCAACACCGATGGTGGCTCCTGCCTGCTGAGGCCCCCGGAAACATGCACACCTGCCAGTGGGGGCCCAGGCACTGGGTGCAGGAGGCCCTGGCAGACCACCTGCTGGGGCACTCTCCCCTGTAGCTTACCTACCCCAGTGCCCACACCCCCCCTGCCCCCTGCCCACCCCCTTGCACCACTCCAGGACACGCACATGAGTGAAAAAGTAAAAAAGTTTATTTATGGAACAAAACTGCCCCATCCCTCCCCACTCCCCACTCAACAGACACAAGCACCACCCCCCTCCACCATCAGTGCCCACCCAGCACCCACGCCACCCACCCATAGTAAAAACCTAACTCACAAATGGCAAATAAGAGTCACATCATGGA